TGCTTCTCTCCCTTTGCAGGTTGAGCCTAGGAGAACAGAGCAAGCAAATGGGCAGTGGCAACAGCACCAACGAGGATCTTGACCCATTCAGAGAAAGGGGCCTTTAAGGGCATGTTGCCTCAAATCTGGAGCTGGCAGTGATAGAAATAATCAGGCCTGGTGCCAGCAGTCAGCTAGGTCAGGCACTGGCTGAGACCCACCTGCACTGCTATTTATCATCCTCCCCACTAGGCTCTCAGATGCTTTTTGCAGCGTGTGTTGCATGTGCTTCTGCTTTTGAACAGGAGCAGAGTTCAGCTCTCATCTGTGGTGGCTGCCCACCATTTTAGGCTACCTAAAACGTTATTCCATGACCCACAGCCACAGACTAATAGATTTCACAGATCTACAGGCCAGGATATGGCATTTTGGGCAAGATGGCTAGCAGCTACCATGGATGGGAATACAGCTTAGCCGCCATTGAAAAGTGCCTCCACTCACCAACCAGTGCAGTATGTTTGGGGGCCTGGTGAAGTGGGGTTGCTGCCAAAGCTGCAGCCAGGTGGCATAGAAAGCATGTGGCTTGGCCCTGCCCTGACTGCGGAGGATGAGTTGGTGGCCCATTGCTGTTATTGGCCAAGTCCTCCCTGCTACCTCCTGAAGTCTGGCAGCAGCCCCAGTTTATTAACAGAATATTGTGCCAATGTGTTGGATTACCCCAATGTACCTTAGTTTGAAACTTGAACTAAAGTTTCCCATGACGAAGCAACAATTTTAAAGAAAGCACCTCATCGTTATTCTTTTTTTAATATGGACTTAAAAGAAACAGGCCTGAAGGCTAAGTGCTTCTATTCCCCCTTTGATCTCAGAATGTTTAGATGGGAAACAGACAGGCCTCAATCATCTGGCAAATTGACTACTCTTGGTGATTCCAATGTGTTTGTTTTTAACTGGAGGTTGTTGTCATTAAAGACTAGTTGCTAAAACAGCAATTCCAGAGAACTCTGAACTTTTGTGATGTGTAGCGGCTTGATTACTTGATTGAACCTGTTTAGTTATTGACCAGTTTAATAAGTCCTGGAGGATGCCATAAACCATGAAACAGCCACAGGGCTCATTTGCTACCTTGAGAAAGTAATTTTCCACGAGAGCTGAAGTCTTTGACAATCTCTTTTAGGGAGTTGATTCCAGTTCCCGGTGACCTTCCTAAAACCTGCCCAGTTTCCTGTCTGCTGAGTTCTCGACATGCCATAATTCTCTGCTAAGTTTGTCAACTGTCTATGCTTTCCCCGATCTGCTTGCAAAGCAATTTGAGATCACCCCCATGCAGGATAGCAGAAAAAGGTGTGCTGACTTTTTGATGCAAAGGAAGAATAGGGAGCACACTTAAGTGCTCTCCCAATTATTCATCCTATCATGTTTGGGCTTCCTACATGTACCAGTTTGGCCATTGTAGGAAACATGCTGCTTGGGTTTGATAAACATTTGGTCTGCTCCATCAGGGCTTTCCATATGTTCTTAAGGTCCTAGGTTCACTCTCTAGCAGGTCTGGGAAGTCCTTTTGCCTAAGGCCTTGGAGAACTGTTGCCAGGCAAAGCAGACACTTTGAGCACAGATGATGCAGTGGTCTGATTCAACATAAAATAGCTACATAGATTTGTTCAGGTCATACCTAATAAACTTCAAATACAAGGAGTCCACTTAGATCCTTGCTTTGAAGGGTATTCAAACCCATTTCAACTATGAGTCACTTACTTGTATGAGAACCACATCGTTCTCTTAGACAAAAGTTCTTGAAACTGGTCTGTCCATCGCTAGATGTGACAATGGCAAGTATGCACATGCATTGATACATCAATAGCATCCACCTGGAGCGTACATGGAGTCATCACATGATGATCTGCACCAGGGGTGGGAAACCTCAAGCCTAAGGGCCAAATGCAGCCCTTGGAAAATTGCCTATGACACATCCTGTCTTCCCAAGCTGGTGTTTCACTTTGTGTGTTTTTTGTCTAGCTGGATGATAAGCCCACTCACCTTTTTCTGTGGGCGGTATTGCGGCCAGGCATCTGGGCCCCTGCAGTGATCCAGCATGGGGGCAGGGAGTTGACACCCCCTCATGCTGTCCTGGCCGTGTCACCGGTGCTGGGCGGGGTCACACCCAGTGTGGTCCTGCTGGCCAATCAGGGCTGGTAGGGGGCGTGGCTGCAGGAAATTTAACTGCAGTGCAGCCGAGGGGGGGGGGGCTCTCCTCTGTCACCCTTTCTCTGGATCTCCCAACCCACCCACCCTCTTTTTTATGCTTTGCTATGACATGACCTTGCTATGGACAAATGTTGGGGCCGGGTAGGATTTTTTCCCACTTGGCAAATTGGCATCAGCCATTCGGTTTTCACCTACATTGTAGCAGTCATCACAACTTTGTGAGGTTAGGCATTGGGTAAGCCTTTGTTTGGATAGAGGGGAGGTTGTAGCCTCCCCCTGCTAATCCTCATTAAGGGTATCCTGTTAAAGGGATCTAGGGGTGTGGATCCTGTCTGATGTCTGGAAGTGTGCTCGGGCCAATCCACAACCCCAATGGGGACTCATCAGGGTGCCCCTATTTGATATAAGTCATAGGGCTCCCCCTATTGGTGGTTTACCCTTAGATGGACTCCCTGTAGAAGGGCGGGAGTCAAGATATAGCCTGGCTTCACCCAATGCCTAAGCCAAACTGCTCACACCTATAACTAATAAAGTTGTGGCCTATTTGATCCCATAAACCTAAATACTTGTGTCTGTGTGTTTATTAATTGCTAGGGAACTGTGGGTCACAAGGCCTTGGCATGCAATGCGTCTTGCTTGTCCGGATGGATAGAGAGCAATGTGTGTGTGTAAACTAGCCTACTATGCAAAAGTAAAAATTTTATTTCTTGCTCTTCTTGCCTCTCACTCCACCCACCACTGGCTTGTGGTTTCCAGAAAGTTTCCCATTATGGAATGTGGCCCTTGGGCTTAAAAGGGTTTGCCTACCCATGCTCTGTGCACAGATATTTTATGGTTTTCCCACATTTTATGGAAGTGGTTTCTGTGTAAGAGAACTCTAATGTGTGAAATGGCACATTATTATATCATGCACCCAAGGTGGATGTATAATACCCTTTCCCCCCAAGAAAACAAGGAGTGAGCTCATGGGAAACGTTTGCATGCCAAAACACCATATTCATAGAACAAACAATATGCTTTTCTTTTTGAATCAGCCAAGAGTAGGCTGGGATCACTTAGGGTTCAAGAGCTACAATTTCTAATATTGCCGCATCACTGTGTTTTCCAACCAGATTAGATTTAATTCTGAATCACATCACTTTCAGCTTTTAAATGCTCACATAATCTGAGGACTTGATATGCCACAGTGCAGCAGGAAAGAAAACACAGACTGTTAATCACTAAATATAAATCCTGTATGCGACAGATGTCCTCCCCTTTATCTCTCTTATTGCTGTATTATTATATTTAATGATCAGTCTATGATTTCCCCCGGCATGATGAAAGAGTAACAGACAAATCTAATGTAATGTGGCCATCTCCTTCAAAATCTGTTGTGCCTTGATCACTGGAGAGGCAAAGAATATTTGGGAATGGAGTTCAAAGCAGCAAAAAAGGCAGAAAAAATATTATTATTTTGGGCATGGCTTCTTAACTTGTCTGAAATGCATTCTCATGTTGGACAAACCAAAGGGAGCTTGTGGTGGGGTGAATTGGTGTACAGCTACAAAGGCATACAAGTGTTTTATGTGCATGGGCACTGTAAGCTAAACATTGCTTCAGGTTTATTAGGAGGCAAGTCACATTTTCTCATGCAGACACAGCCCTACCTGGAGCCCCAAAATATGAGAGACTAGCTGTGGTTACAATATTTGCCACTGTTAAACATAAAAAAAATGAACATTCAGCCTAAAGATGGCTGAACACAGGCTATGGCATAATGTGCAAGGCAGTTCTCAGTGGCAAGCAGTCTGCACATGCACAGAGATGAAATTTATTAATTTTTATCCCACCATTATGCCTTTAATGAACTAACACCTAACAAGGACATACTGCTGGTTTGTTTTTCTCAGTATTGTTTGCACTGACTGGCAGTGGCTTTTCAGGCAGGGCTCACAGAATTGTAGAGTTGGAAGGGACCCTGAGTGTCATCTAGTCCAACCCCTTGCAATGCAGGAATCTCAACTAAAGCATCCATGACAGATGACCATCCAATCTCTACTTAAAACCCTCCAATGAAGGAGAGACCACCACCTTCTGAGGGAGACCGTTCCACTGTCAAGCAACTGTTATGATCATAAAGTTCTTCCTGATGTTCAGCTGGAATCTCCTTTCTTGTAACTTGAAGCCATTGGTTTGGGTTTTCCTACCCTCTGGAGCAGGAGAACACAAGTTTGCCTCATCTTCCATGTGACATTGAGATATTTGAAGATCTCTTCTCAGTCTCCTGCTATCCAGGCTAAACATACCCAACTCCCTCAACTGATTGTCTTGTAGCCTTATATTCACATTCTGGATTTTATTCTGAACGCACTGTCCCCAGTACCTGTTGTTTAATTTTTCATAATTAAAAATCTCCTAAAATCAAATTCTTTCACTCCTCAGAAACTGGCATTCAGAAGTACACTGCCTTTATAGCTAAATGAGAGGAGAGACCTCTTTGCCACCAGCTTCCCTAATCTCCTTTTAAAGCCATCTAAACTAATAAGAACACCAAAATATGAAGTGCAATCTGGGAGAAAGCGAGAGAGAGATCTGTAGAGGGCCAGCACAATATTATGGCCAGATTAACAGCTGCTACAAACAAATGGACAATAGGCAAGTTTCCCAGCTGGTGTCTCTGCCCCCCCCTTTAGTTGCTGCAGATGTGGAAGCTGTTGCCAAGGTACTGTGGTGACGTCCACTGATGGGTCAATTCACTTGCTGCTTTTGCTCACTTGATTAATTGCCAAGAGTCTTGCTTCCCAGCAGAACTGAGCATAACTTTGTCAACTAGGGGAAGTGCTGGAGCTCAATGGTAGAGCACCTGCCTTGCATGAAGAAGGTCACAGGTTCAATCCCCAGCATCTCCAGGTAGTGATAGGAGAGACCCAACTAACAAAGAGCATTTCATCTGCCTGGGAAGCTGCATACTAACCATTTTCTAATATTAGAGGTAATCTACCCTTTTGTAATTAAGGGAATTCAGGAATAGATTTCCAGCTGTGCAGAGAAGGTTTTTTTGATCGAGGATATCTACCTCAAATCAGCAACTTCTGGAAAATTGTTGGGTCTTGTAAGTTGCACAATGAAGTCTGGAATAAAGAGCAGACACCTCTCTGCCCCACACAAAAGGTTTAACAGACAGGCAAAAATCAAACAGTTCTCCTCACCATTGCAATACACCCAGAGGAAATCTGCCTCTGTTGCAATTCTGTAACACCATTCAGATACAAAAGCTTCCAACAGCTGCTTTACTTGCCTGTGCAGCAACCAAGTCTTGCTGCTGTTGCTGCTGTAATAAGGAGTCTTAACTAGTACTGGCAAAAAGAAAAAGAATGTCAACACACCTCCAGATACAGAAAAGTCAGTACAGTAGATTGTCATGTTTTGAACAAGCAGGGTGCAGGGAAAGAAGATCCATATACGTGAAAACATTTTCTGTTTATTTTTAGAGTTGTTAGACAGACAAGATGGATGGAAAACTGGAGTGGTGAGACTATATTATTGGGGAGTAGCAGAGCCAGACCTGAGGCAGAGATGCAACGCGGGATGACAATGTTCTGAGCCTGTGCACTGTCTATCTGGCGTGATGGATTCTACTTGCCACTTTCTCCTTGTCTGCTCCAGCTTTCCCCTTTCTTTTCCTTTTAAATCCTCTTACAATGTGAAGCAGGGAAGAAAGGCACTGTGTTATTTTAGGGTAAGTGATATTAGGGCTTTGTGCCATTCACACGCTTAAATCTCCAGGAGGAGGCAGTGCAGAGGGGTACAGGCAGTGAACGCTGGTCCAACAGGGCAACAGGGCAACTGCCCTACCAACCTCAGTGTATCCTCACTCAGTTCTGCCTTCTTATTTACAACCAGTCCAGAGTGTGTCACTGTCTATCAGTTTCCTCCTTCTGAGTCACAGTGCTGCTCTTGTAGAACTCAGCAGGGAAGAGGAACATGGCAACAAAGGTACAATTATTTCGGTCTGCCTGTCATTGACTATGATTCTTTCTTCTTCTTCTTCTTCTTCTTCTTCTTCTTCTTCTTCACCACCACCACCACCACCACCACCACCACCACCACCACATTTATATACCACCTTTATCTTCCAAGGATCTCAATGTGGTGTACATAGTTCTCCCCATTTAACCCTCACAACTACCAGTGAGCTTCAGGGCTGCAATCCTGGTATATACCTGTGGCAATCACACAGGGTCCCCGGACGTTTAACGGTCTATTGATCCCTGTGCCACCACTGTGCTTGCTTCCCTGCTGCCACCAACCCGTTACTCTCGGGTAAAACACTGAGTCCAGACAGTTGTTAAAATTGAACCAAATAAACAAGTTTATTTTATAAGCATTAACAAGTTTATGGTTTCTCAGATAATATTCCTGTCAGTTTATTAACTTTAGTTTCTTTACCAGCCTATACCTTCCTAATACCTTCTGACTGATTATATCAACCGTTTGACTGACTCCTCTTAACAGATTCTCTCACTCTCTCACATCAGACTAGCCCAACCCACAGACTTATCCTCTCTGTCTCTTCTTTAACTCCAGACTGACTTCTCAACCACCCTAACTCTAACTCCTCCCCTTGGGTTGCCATTGGTTAGTCATTTTACAATTAGTTAACCCTTTCCTTATGAACCCAGTATGATGTCACACACCTAGGAGGGCAAATGCCACATAACCCACCAGCAATGTTGTTGGGCAGGTGTAGCTATATTCCCCATGGCTGTGAGAGCCTACATGGACACACTACAGGACGATGCAGAATCAATTTTCTGTGAGCTTTTATTTTTTGAATGAAATCAGTTTCTTGAGAAGTACACACACATCTAGACTGTGTGTAGACCACATACAGAAAGCAAACACTTGGTTTTCATTGATTCTAAAATTAAATGCCATGTGTGTGCAACCCAAGAAAGGAGAGCAGGAGAGCAGGAAGGGCCATGAAGATGCCCATCAGAAAGTATTCTCAACAGGACAATGAGCAGACACCTAGTTCACCTGGATACAGCCTTCTCAACTATAGCGAGACAACTTGCAATTCAATGTAAATTATAGCAATTTCCAGAGGGGCAGCCACGGTCTTCTATGTCACAGCTATGAGTCTTGTAATGTTAATGTAAAACGCTCTGAGACTGTTACTTAAATTATAGTAGCTATTTCTAAACCAGCATATGTAAATGTTATGGAAATCAGTGTCCTATTTTGTCTCCCTTTTTTGTGATGCATTTCCTTTTTTTTTTTGGCAATGCATAAGTGCCCCCCAAAGCCCCCTGAGGATTGGCAGTGGAATCCCCAAAGAGGCTGGTCCTGGTACATAGCCCCTATCTATCACAGCCTGCTGATGAGTTCCCAGCTCCTTGCAGTTCCAAGGAGGCAGAAAAACCCCCAAACAAAGAGGGTTATATGTGGCTTATGGACTGCTTTTGACTAGTGTATGCGTGTATGACAAATTATACAGGGCTGTCCTAATTTATAAATAGCTATCCTCCAAGCGCTTGCCATGGTGATTTCACTTTTAAGAAGCAGCCAAAACTGGGCCAAAGATGCCTTCAAGGTTCACCCTTCCTGATTCCTCTCCCCCCCCCTTGCTTCCCTGATTGAAGCCAGTTGGACATGATAAACGCCAGTGCTTTGTTATGGCTGAAATGGAGTAAATGGTCCCCCTCATTTACAGCCGTTTGCCTCTTGATCTATTTATCCATCTATCAAGCTATAACAAGGCATTAAATCTGTTGCTGCTACGTGCACACATATCATTTAGGCACTGCAGCAGGAGCTCCGCAATTGTTAATACCAGCCTGTTAGCGTGTAGTGATTGGGTGTTTGTCCTTTAATTACCCTGCCAACAGAGCACCTACTCAAGGTCACTTGAGTTACTCTTAAGAGATGTTCAAACCATTCTTTTGCACTCAAAGACTGGATGGATTAAAAAAGTGGCAAAGAAATAGATTTCACAGCTGCCCCACCCAATTCTCTTTCAATGGATCTGAGGCTCTATCCATATTATACATTTAAAGCAGCATCATGCTGCTTTTAACAGCCATGGCTTTCCCCAAAGAGTCCTGGGCATTGTAGTTTGTTGAGGGTGCTGAGAGTTGTTAGGAGACTCCTATTCCCCTTGGAAAGCTACAAATCCCAGAGGTCTCTAGGAAGAGGGATTGGTTGCTAAACCATTTTGAAAACTGTAGTTCTGTTTATTGTTAAACCACTGTAGTATAGGGACATGGGTCATTTACTGAAAATAACAGTGTGGTTGTTTCTATATAATCTTCAGCATGACCTTCTAAGATACAAGCTGCTTAATGACAATTTGATCACTTATCTCCTTAACCCAGTCACTTAAGTCTCTGTTGGCGATCCCCCATGTCTCAGATACAGATCGCAACTATTAGAAGTTGTGCCTTCAGTGTTGGTGGCCCAAGCATGTGGAACTCCCTCCTGACTGAAATTAGACAGGCACCTTCCATGATGAATTTCATCAAACTTTGCTTCCCCCAAACAAGCTTTTCCTGGAGTTATCCCTGAGAAGGTCTATTTGTGATCAATCTCAAGCCATTCATATTTATCACAACAAATCAAACCTCCCACAACATCTGGATTCAGAGTTGGTACAAACTGCTTTGGGAGAAATTCTGGGCAAATATGAGAAATTATAAATGATAGCCTTCCAGCAATAATTCACCAGCAGGAGAGGGGAAGAGGTGACATTTGTCAGGCGGATTATTAATCATTAATGATTTGTCCAGTGCTAGTTATATGGTACCTGACATTTTAACTAGCAATTTTTGTGTTCAATGAACTGTGTGTAATCACTGATTTTTTATTATTATTAAACATAGATTTCTGTTCTTAAGATACATGTAAAACAAGGAAGAGGAACTAGCGTGTTGCCGATTAGGATGGAAGGTGGGAAGGTCATCAAAGACATTGGTCACAAAGTGCAAATTTCAGTTCCCCTCTTACAATCTAGGGGGAAAGTAGGGACATATGAATGCACAGGTGACTTTGTGGCATGTAAGAAAAGCCCAGTTGAATCAGACCCAAGACAGCTGAAAAGGGGCAGTTGGTAGAGCATGAGACCCTTAATCTCAGGATCATGGGTTCAAACCCCATGTTGGGAAAAAGATTCCTACCTTGCAGCAAGTTGGACTAGATGACGCTTGTGGTCCCTTCTATGATTCTATGAATAGGCTCCCTGCTCAACTGACATCTAGTATCACTCATTCTCCACTGGCCTATAGCAGATTGGACTTTAAGTCCTCTCCATCTGCTCTGCTCTTCCTCTCCTTGAACTCTTTCCATTCCTGTAGAACGGACTCTACTCTGTAGAGAAGTAGTGTTGCTTTTCTTTCTCCTCCCACCAAATCCCTTTTCCTTTTGTGCCATGCCTTTGAGAGTGAGGAAAAGGATGGTTTTATTACTACCTGTAAGCAGCCCTGGGAATCTTTTGGTGGTGTTGTTGGTTTTTTGCTGAAGAGTGAGGTGAAAATACTTTGGATAAATGAATTACTTGTCTGTTAAGAGTTAATAGCACTGTCCATGAACCTCAGTCTTAGTCAGCCCCCACAAATCCCAGGGGGTGACTCCTCCAAGTGTTGCCTTGGTAGAACTGAGCGGAGAAGAAGATGAAGGCAAAACTAGAATCAGTTGGCTCTGCCTGACTTTGGCTATGCCTCCACTTGCCATTGGTCTCCCTGCCTTCCACCCTACCAGTCTCAACAGGCAGCAGCCATCATTGCTTGAGCCCGGACTCACTTGAGCCCCTGGAAAATATGTTTCAGAAACAGTTCCCAGCTTTGGCACATGCAAAACAGAAATGACAGGAAAAGCATGTGCAACAAATTGAACATGTGCAAAGGGCCTCCATTGAACATGTCTCCTTTTAAAAAACACTGGGTAGCATGTGCATGTCTCACCATCTGACGTGCACAGACAGACCTTGTGCTTACTCAGTGCAAAGTCCATATTTCTTCTTGGGAATGCCACAGATTTTAGGGAAATATCCACATCCTTTAGCCTGGGAGAGCCCTAAAACAAACTCATTAGCTTGCTTGCAGAATTATGTATGTATAAGCACACATGCTATTCATTGTACGACAGACCAAAATAATGTTTATTTGCCTCATTTTCTCCCAGCAACATTATCACCAGGGTACAAGTTCTGCATTCAGAATCGTCCTAGTTATTCAATGCTGATGTGTAATCATTGCACACAGTAGCCACTCACTCATGTGTGAGAAAATCAAATAGTTCAGTGTCTTTGATCTCATTGCATTTCATTGGTTCTGTAATTTATCGGGCTGCTAAATGAAAGTGGAGCTCTAAGGTTTTGCCCCCCCTTCCCCCGTCGCTCCTTTGAGTTGCAGCCTGTGCTCGTGTTATGATGAGCTTGGGCTTCTTTTAAAAAAGTTGCTTGATGATCATTCTATGGTTTGGGGTTTCAAGAGCTCCCTCCTCTCCCACCCAATCATTTCGGTATGATTTTTCCCTCCTTGTAAAACAAATGCATCTTGGATGGCAGCAGCTGTCTCCCCAAAAGGAGGAATAAAATTTCCTGTCTGGGTTGCTGCATTTAAAAAAACAAAAACAAATGCAGATAGAATACTCCTTGAATATCATTCTTGTTAAAAAGAAGCAAATGTTCTAAAGCAATTTTATAATGCAGCATGCCTTTGAGCAAACTTATAAATTCATGGAAGAAAAGGCTATCGAAGGCTAATAGCCATCATGGCTATGTTCCCCTATGAAGAATAGGGGTCTCCTAACAACTCTCACTGCCCTTAGCAAACTCTATGTTATGTATGCAGGCATTGTAGGTTGAAGCCAGGCTGTATGCATGCAATGCAGGCCTAGGCCTTCAGGCCTCCTGGAGCTCAGGAGCTTCATCTGCATAACAAAAGACAGAGAGGATTCTAAAACCCTCCAATGACATTGTTAGTAGCTGACAGGCAGCCAATCCCTGCTGAGATAGGGCCAGTGTTGTGATTCGCTAATTGCAGCATTAAGGCGACCTATCACAGGCAGTGTGTATATTTTGCCCTGACTGGCTTAAGGTATATATACTGGGTCAAGTGCCCCTGTTTGTCATTCTTGTTCTTGATGTTCCAATAAATCCCTTTTGAGCTGAATCTCGGTCTTAGGTAATGCCTGAACCCGCCTACACTTCACTTCCCAAGATTCTTTGAGAGAAACCATGTGTGCTGGTCCCGGGGGGAGGTTACCGTGAGGCGTGGTCAGAGTCCGGTCCTGGGTTGAGGGTCTGGAGACTGTCCACCAAGGTCCAAAGCGAGGAGCCGGGCAAGGTCAGGAACTCTGGAAGAGCCCACGGGTGACCCGCCTCTCCTGGCCTTAAGGCGAGCACTCCTCCTGAGAGAACCCAGTTCCCTCCTCCTCTCTGCCCTGAGCCTCTGCAGCTCAGGAGCGGCTGGAGGGTTACTGGACCCAGGGGGAGGCTCACCTTCCCCTGACAGGGCTGGGAGAGGCGCACCTGTAGGCAATGGGTCCTCAATCACCTCCGGAGCCAGAGTGGATTCATCTGGTGTCTGCTCCTGAGGATCCGGCACAGGTGCAGGCGCTTCAGAATCAAGGCCCTGCCCCGGCTCAGCCGGCCCTGGAGGCGGGGACTCCTGTGCAGGCTGGGATTCTCCGGTTCAGCCTCTGAATCAGATTCCCAGGCCATCACACCATGACAGTTTAAAGAGATGTGACACTGCTTTAAATGTATAATGCAGATGGGGCCTAATGCAGGTATTTTAATTTCAGTGGTTTACTCTGAGTTGGACACAACCCTAGACATATTTTTTCTCTCCAACAAAATATGTGGAATGTCAAATGGAAATGAAATAAGAGTACAAAATACAGCAAGTGGGGCTGAGAGTTTGTGTAAAAACCCACTCTGAATCTGCAGACTCTTTGGAACAGCTGCTGAACCCTTATCGTGCTTGAAACCTCACTTTGAAATGAGGTTTTGGGCTCCCCACAGCAGGCCATTGACTGCTCCCGTTGGCTCTTCTGAAGCCATTTTGTGTAAACAATTTGCATCTTCAAAGTCTGGATGACTAGAAAAGAAAAGGAACGCAGCTGGAATTCCATAAAGGCGTAAAAACAAACAGGAGTCTGGGGGAAGTTAGAGTGAGGGCCAGCAAGAATGAAAATTCAATTAAACAGCCCATTTTAAAGTCAACAGATTGGTCCTCATTCGGCAAATTGCCTCCCTTCTGCCCAGAATATCAGGTGGTATGTTTCCCCTCCTCCCCAAGGACATGCAGTTAAATTAGATGCAGAGCATTTGCTGAATTTCAGTAAGGCCCAGGTACTTATCTTTACCAGGTGGAGGATCTAGAAAGAAGAACGGGCCCATCGCGCAATAGTAGATCACATGCTTTGCATATATAAGGGCCAGTGGTGCAGCTATGCACTTTAAGACTCTGGATATACAGTACCGGCATTGCCACTTTTTATTATTGTTTATAAAATTTATATACTGCTTATATGGCAAAAGGGACACGGGTGGCGCTGTGGATAAAACCTCAGCACCTAGGATTTGCCGATCGCATGGTCGGCGGTTCGAATCCCCGCGGCGGGGTGCGCTCCCGTCGTTCGGTCCCAGCGCCTGCCAACCTAGCAGTTTGAAAGCACCCCCGGGTGCAAGTAGATAAATAGGGACCGCTTACCAGCGGGAAGGTAAATGGCGTTCCGTGTGCTGCGCTGGCTCGCCAGATGCAGCTTGTCACGCGACCCGGAAGTGTCTGCAGACAGCGCTGGCTCCCGGCCTATAGAGTGAGATGAGCGCACAACCCTAGAGTCTGTAAAGACTGGCCCGTACGGGCAGGGGTACCTTTACCTTTACCTTTATATGGCAAAATGGTTTCTAAGCGGTGTGCAACTATAAAAGCAATACATAATTAAAGTATGGGCATTAAAACATGCTTAATTAAAATATACCATAAAGCGAAAACCAAAAATTAAGTTCAGTATTATTTTATGTGTATTACTGCTGAATTTAGGGGTCCTCCTGCTCATTCTGCTGAGTGAGCCTCTAGATTTCTGCCACAGAGTTCTGCCCTGATGGTACCATTGATAAAGTCCCCAAAAGCAACTGCCAGGATGTCTGGCTACAGGATTTCTAGGTAGGGATGGGAAAGACCCCAGCCTAAGATTCTGGACAGCAGCAGAGTAAACATTGCGAAGGGTTGGACTGCTCCCTCCATGCTATGATATTGGAAAGAGCCTTTTTTTTTAGATGCAGTGGGCAAAAAAAAAAGTCATTTTCAAAAAGATGCATTGGACATCAATCCAATAATGCTAAATCAACTCACAAAACAATATTGTGTGTGTGTATGTATGAGGGAGACAGACACACAGAAAGAGTCAGACAGAGAATGAATACTTTCATTCTTATTCAGAATCACACGGCACACTTTTTAGATTAAAATATAATATATTGGGCTATATATGTGCTGTGTGCACTGCATTTTGTATTAATTTCTTATAAACCAAATGTTCATATGCAATTATGGACTTAATAAATGGCAATATTTCTTCTTATTACCAAGAATGAAGCTTTCTCCCAGATGGAAAATAAATGCATTACTAGCATTTATCAAAGGAACTGTGGCTTAGTTAGATGAGGGAGGGAAGTGGGTGGGGTGGGGGGAGAGATAGGTTGTGGGAGTGGGGAGAGAAAGGAGGACAGGTTGTCTTTTAAAACCACTGGCTCACAGCTCAAAACCCCCTGCTCTGCATCATTAATGAATGGTGGAAGCAGTGGTGGAGGAAGTGGCGTGGAGGTGCAGTGCGCCCCGGGTGTCATCACTGAGGGTGTGTGTATGACAAAATGAGTTTTAAAAAATTGGGCTCACAAGACTTTTTAGGAGTGACGTGGTGGCTTAGGTGCCTGCAGGTTCCGCTCTGCCTGAAACAGCAGTGTGGAATTTGTGTCTGCCTACTGCCTCTCCCTCAGCCACCCTACAGCTGAGAGGGAGGCGGCAGAGAAGCTCCAAGGGTCAGAGAGGCTTGCCTCGCCTCCATGGGTGCAGCTTGCCCCGCCCCCATGGGCGGATCACCCCGCCCCTGGCTGCAGGACACCCCACCCACACCAGGCACCCGAGAGACTAGCTTC